GTAGGCAATTTAAATGCTCATATAATGAGGGTTCACAACGTCCCAGAAGGAGAGCCTATATACGGATGTAATTATTGTTCGTGCGTATTTAAGAAACTCGGCAGTTTGAATGGTCACATGAAACGTATGCACACAAATGTAAACGAGGTAAATCATAAATTGCCCGGCGCATCGGTTTATTCCTTACGAATAAAAATACTTTCAAATCGTTCAGATCAATATGCAACGACGTTTCTAGGAGAATGCCGCTGAGAACAATATCCATACGAGCGACAACCTGGAGTCCGATATACGTGCAACGGTGAATAACGTTATAACGCAACTGGCATCTTTGGAATCGAACGGTCATCAAATCTCGACGGAGTCGTCAAATCTCGAGTCGCGTCTGTGTACTTCGGAAAGTACAGCGAAAAAGGATATATTGCAACAAGCGTTGAAAAACAGCGGTCTTCCTAGCAAGAACAAAACTTCTGCTTCTGAAGGTACGTGCGTCGGTCACGCTCGATTACAAAGCGATTGTGTAAATTTTTATTAGCGTTTACGTTTATTGTGTGAATAATCACGCTGCTGTTTCTTCTCGATAGGCGTTGCGGAAGCGAAGAAGTTTGGAGCTCGGATTAATTTTGTAACGTTGTTGGATCGAGCGCCTGACGGTGATACGAGGTGATCCGTTTTACGTGTATCTATAAGCGAGATTATCGATTATTGATTATTGCAAATGGCTGACGTAAATTTTCTTTCTCTTCTTGCTACCTCTTTAGAAAATATTTGACGATAAAGCAACGATGCGTAGGGAACGTGAAATGGTACGCGTGTACGTTTTGTCACAAAGAGTTTAAAAAACCGTCAGATTTGATACGTCATTTGCGCGTACACACTCAAGAGAAGCCTTTCAAGGTAAACACGCGCGTGTGTTTTGTACATGTTATAAAATATTTTTCACGTTCGAGGCAGTGCGTTCGAGCACACCTTTCTCTTCATTGTGTAACATTTACACTTGTGTATCGTGCCTTTTTTCAGTGTACCTACTGTCATCGTTCGTTCGCTTTGAAATCTACAATGATAGTACACGAACGCACGCATTCGAGTGTCAAACGTTACGCTTGCGGTTCTTGCGACAAAACATTCGTCTGTCATAGCAGTTTAATTGCGCATACCAGGTGAGTGGTGTTGTTTCTATTATATTCTTTTTCATACGAGAGAGAAGAATCGACGACGAGCAATTGCAATTGAGTGACTGCCTTTTACGCCAGATTGCATGGAAAATCGGAAACTGGTTTCGATGAAATTATCGGCATGATTGACAACGGTAAGGATCGTTCCGACGCGATCGTCCCTACGATCGAAACGACTGACATTTACTCTGCCAATCGGTCGAGAACCCAAACGACGAAGGGTAAATCAAAGTTGTCACCGGAAGCAGAAAGTCTGGTACCTCAGGTGATCTTGCAAGAACCGTTGGTAATTAGCGACACGGGATATAAAATTTCCGTGGCTTCTTCGGGGAAGAAGAAACGCGCTTGTGAGGCAGACCCTGCTGATCAGGCCAGGCCCCATAAATGTTGGATATGTCAGGCGGCGTTTAGAAAGGTCAGCCATTTGAAGCAACATCATCGTCGTCATACGGGAGAACGTCCGTACAAATGCACAACATGCGATAGGTATATGCGCGGTTTTATATGCTTTTTATATAAGTTTCATTCTTTCCTTCTTTCCTTCTTTCAACAAACGTTTCCCCTTTTTAACAATTTATATTTTATATTTAATATAAATCTCTATCTTGTCTACCTTGTTTCTTCTCTCTGTCTCTTTGCGTGCAACGTGGCCAACCGTTTTTACGTTTAACGTTTAACGCATATCGTTTTAAATTATCGTTTCAGGAGATTCACGTCGAACAGCGTTCTAAAGTCGCATTTGCACACTCACGAGGATTCGAGACCATACGGTTGCTCTGTTTGTAACGCGAAATTCTCTACGCAGAGGAGCGTGAAAAGACACTTGGTTACTCACAGTAATAAAAGACCGTTCATGTGTCCTTATTGTCACAAGACTTTTAAAACTTACGTCAATTGTCGGAAACACATGAAAATACATAAACACGAATTGGCACAGCGGGTACAGTATCTGTTGCAGAGGAAAGAAATGGGAGCGAAAATTGCGTCGATTGTTAACGTTAATCAAACGTGTTATATGCCTTTCTTTGAATTCGTAGCAATTGGAAGAACAGAAAATGAGTATACAAGAACAAGCCTCGGACAAGTTGAATACGAGGGAAAGTCCAAAACAAGAGGCGGCCCTCGAATCGTCTTCTTCCTCTTCTGTCTCTGTTACTACTATTAATTCCACCATTACCACCAACATTTCTATCACAACCACCGCCAGCATCAACACCACTTCTCCCATCGTGACAACGTCCTCTTCTACGTTTTCAGATAGCCTTGCACTTTCTTCTCGTCTTGGATCGGTTGAATTGTCGTTTCAACCACAGCTCGCAACAGAGTTTTCCCAAGCTTTCTCCGAATTTCAAAATATCACCGAAGAGAAGGAGAAAATAAGGCCAGTCTTACCAACAAATTGCGATGCCACGACATTTATCAATCGTACGTTCTTTCTCCGAACACGGAGAATCATATATATTTAACATGTCTCTCTCATGTGCGTACCGGGAAATTATATTTTTATCAAAAGTGTACGCACGGCGTACTTTCCTTTTTCTTCTTCTTCTTCTTCT